CTTGCAATCAGGATAGAGGGCGCGACATTCCTCTTTCGTGCTGCCGCTCTCGATGCATGCCTTCATCAAGGTTCTGCACTCCCGATTGGGCTTGTTCCCCTTCATTCCCATTTTCATTGCGCGACGCAACTCACGGGTGTTCTGTATTGTTGCGAGGCAGATATATGCATGAGCATATCCGTTTTCAATTGTAATACACACAGATCAAAAGCATCACATTGCGTAAGAATAAAGGCAGAAGACATGGACAATAAGAAATCGAAAGGACATGAAGGGTTGTGATCGTCAACCTTTGGACGGCAAGAAAAAAGCTAAATCTTTTACTTACATCTAGCACACTTGAAGAAGCACCACGTAGATCAGCTTGCACGGATGCGGCAAGGAGAAGGAAGGCAAAGAGAATCTTCGAGGAAAACATAGTTTGTATTTTGAGGAATTGGATAGGATTAGATTTGGTTTTCACTTTCTTCGAAACAGAATTGTGAGCAAACCGATTGATGAAATCAATCGGTGCCCTACAATCGGAAAGAGTGTGCGCTCGTTCCATCATCACTCTGGAGGTTCGTGTTCTCAGGTATTTAATACACTTGCTGGCTTCCAACGGAAACAAAATCAGCACGTGGTGGGCGTGGAAGTGTCCTGTACTTCTAGTGCGTACAAGAAGCACCAAGTCTTAGAAGACGTCGAAGTAGCTTCTTTGCAGTATTGATTGCCGTATGATGATTGTTCCGTTGAATTTTTTTTAATTTGTAGTATTTTTTTACTTCTGGAATACAGTATCTTCAGGAGTCTCATTTTTTTAATCTTGTAAAGAAGCCTACTAGTAAAGGTACATGTAACAGTTCCATTGCTGTTCGAACTTCTACGACTAGCTACGATACAGTAAATAAATAACTACAGTACGTAAAGGTAATACAGTAAAAATATCAAAAACAAGAAAATAATAAGTAATACTGTAATACTTGTAACAAAAATAATCCTACTAGTACCTACGGCACAAAACTAAAAATTTCAATTGAATCTTTCGATCGTTCCAAATCCGATGAAACAGAAAACAGCGGATTTGGCACGATCGAAGCAATGAGACGCCCAACATCAAATAGATAGGGCATAGTTGGCGAACGAAGGCAGAGTAAAGGACGCCGGTAATAGAGAGACCGTTGGAGATGGCTGCGAATCGTTCCAAATCTGACGAAAGAGAAAACAGCGGATTTGGCACGATCGAAGCAATGAGCTCGCCCATCAAGGAGTAAACAAGGCATAATTGATTCCAATCTGAAATGCTGGCAATAGAGCGACCGTTGGAGGCGAGATCCGACGAAACAGAAAACAACAGATTTGGCACGATCGAACCAATGAGTTCGCCCATCACCAAATGGACAGGGGATATTGGATTCAAATCTGAAATAGTCCTAAAATAAAGGCAGAGTAATGGGAATTTTGCAACAGAGTGACCGTAGGAGACGGCTGTGACAAGGACATCGGCATCTGCCCATACTACTCTGCTGCCCAGTGAGTTCGACAACTGAAGGCAACCCGGTCCTGAGGATGGACAATGTGGGCAGTTGCTTCATCAGTCAGACCCGTCGCTCTTGTAGACTGTGCTATCTTTGGCGACATCGCAGTCTCGAGCTAAAGCTCTCGACTGCGCTTACTATAATTGTCACACTATAGTACTACTTCAACATGAGCTCCCCCGATACAAATTCTGAGTACACTCGCTGTACGAGCAACGCCACAGATATGACATATTGCAACACTCGCTCTTTTTTAATCCAGCAAGACAGCTTGCAACGAAATCTAATTCGCAACTACAGCGATTTGTGTCTCGATCCCAATCAAGGACATTGCTTGTAACTAGGAAACTGGAGCAAGACGGCAGAGTTCTCCCCCATTCGGAGCTGCTACTACTGGTTGAAGAAAGGTTACTCAAATTTTACATCTCTAGCATCAGAGCACTCTTACAATTGATCGCTATTAAAGTTCTGACTTTTTGTCATTTCCGTGTACACGGGTCATTAGCTTTCTCGTTCCTGTTCATCACGTGCTGAACGCATCTATCTCTTTGAACTATTGAATCACTTACGAATCAACACCGCCTCACTGGCCACAATGATGCCTTCATCAGAATCTTGTGCCTGCACCGCCTCAGTGGCCATAATCACTCTTGGTGGAGCCGCACCAACATTGGTTGGGGGGTGAATGATCGTGTGATCCAAAATGAAGTGAGCCATCTTGTAAATATCTGTTTGCTTTGGCGATATATTAACAGAGGAGATTAGGAGATTACAAACACGTGGTTTGTCCGTTTGGGTGCATCTTGCACTAGTGGTGTATAGGGAGATACTAGCCTTGGGGTCGAAACGAGCAGCTGTCTCGAAGAAAAAGCCATGGATCGACTTATAGGGTACGCTGACGAAGTCCATTCGTCCAGTGACAATGATTAGTCGGAGATTTGTGTACAGAAAAAATTTTGTGCCCTGTTCCAAAGCCTTAAGAACAGTTTCTTCTTCCAAAAGCAACGGATACACGTGGTGAAATTGGACGTTCAATTGTTCTGGGTTAATTTCGATTGCCATCGGAAGAAAACGATTGAGCCCAAATGGATTTTTCTCGTATCCAATGCAAGTTTTCGGTCTGAAGACTACTTTTGGATCAGTATGGCATCCGACGATGAAACTGCTCAATATCTCTTGAAGTTGCAAGACATCAGCCGTCCCGGCGAGGAATGAGAATCCTATAGAGGCAAGATTCCATCGATTGCGAGTATAAATGCAAACAGATGATTTCATCCCCACAGATGCAGGTCCCAGATAAACGCTGTAATAACGAATCGAGCGGTACGGCAGAGACGTGTACAGAAACCTCATATTCGATAGACCAGATACCAGAATAGCCATTACACGAAGATTGGTGCACAGAAATATATGTGACACTGACCTCAAAGCCAGAAAGATCTTTTCTTCATCTAGGAGGATTTTTGACTTCGTATGGAACTCTCTTTCCAATTCGATGGGATCCAAGCCTCGTTGAGGATCGCCAAGCCATTGGAAAGTACGACCATAGTCACGTTGTTCTTCTGTCAAGATAGGCATTGCAACAGGAGCGCCCAGCTTCAAATCGTCAACCTCAATAATTCTTTTTGACAAGTAATATTTGAGCCTGATTGCATCAACACAATTCTTGTCAAACTCCAAGCACCTGGTAGAAAAACCATCGTTGTAAATTAATGTAAGAAACTGACAAGCACAGCAAAAGGTCATTTTCCGTAGAATATCAAACACTTACAAACAACTTAGTTCGGGTCGGGCGGGTATCCCTGACTAGCAGCGTATTTCAAATTTGAATTCGAACAAAGTGATGAAACAGTGTTGAAACATTGCGTGTTAGCTCTCGAAACGGATATTTAACGTCCACCGCCAATTCCTTGGTAGTTCTACTCACTGGATTATCGTCGTCCTTTGGTTCTCCAGGATAAAACTGCAGCTCAGTGTATAAATGAACTTTAGTATCGAAGAGTTTGAAGTTCGCTGGATGGACTTCAAAGGCAAGAAAGCTACTCCAAGGGTACGAAAGATACTTGATACTGCCAGCATTCCATAGTTTTTTGTCGATAAAGATGACCCTTTTGGTTGTGAACAAAGTAACATGACGAAAACCCTGAAACGCAATCTCCACCTGCTCGCTGCCTTGCAGAATCGGAGGATCGGCCTTCAATGTCGTTTGTATTACTGCACAGTCCATAGTTTGCTGCATATTTGTCAGGACACCATTTAGGTTGGTGAAAGCTTCACTATCTCGATACTGATCAGCTCCAGCTATGGGATCTTTATCTTTTCCCAAAATGTGATTACAGAGGACCTGATCATCAATTGATTAGAGAAATACGAAGTAAAGGCATTGAACAAGGTCTACCGGAAACATACCTTCTGAATTGCCCACAAATTTGCTTCGCCCGTTCGAAATTCTTGTGTGATACAATTGTGTTCACCCAAGTGGGGCAAGTGCAATCTATTTAATTATCATGTCGCATGTTCACAACCAAGTGAGAACAAATTTATCCATTGAAGCATTCATATTAATTCATCTCTTCCCGGTGTCTAATTTACCTCGTATGCGGAGATCTTACCTCATTTCCGTATAACGTTTGAAAAGTCCAGCAGACTCGACCGAAAATGAATGAATGGAACTGTACATGATTGTCACAAACTCGATTCTCTTCTCGATTAAACCCTTGACGTGAACGAATAGAAGGCGCATGTTTGTAAATAGCTTGAAATTCTGCCTATCTTTGAAGGCAATTTGGACCTCCTCAACTTCAGAAAAAATTGGAAATTTTGTTTTGAAATAGTTCTCTGCCTCCTTAGCATCAATCTGGTGCCCGTCGTCTTGTAACCAATTCATCATGCTACCAAGAGAGGATTCCCTTTTATGTTCAAGTAATTTAAAACAAGGAAGCAGCGATATACTGAATTAGATTGAAAATCAACAATATTAACAGCTTTCCTCTTATTCTTTGTTTCAAGCCTTACTTTTTGTCCATGCTCGGTGAAGTTGGGTCGACATAATCTGGGGTACCTTTCAGTTTTTCAATTGAAATCTTTGAATTCAAAAACTGGTAAACCTCAAAGATGTCAACATCGCTCTTCGTAAAGTCGATTGTGAGTCTCATTGTGTCACTCAATACATGGACTTTTGAATCTAGATCGAATTTTCTAGCTGTTTTGACTGAGTACCAGGTGATAGTTGAATAAGGCAGACTGAAATACTTCTTTCGTTCGCCTCCTCTACTCCTTCCATCCAAGACGAGCATCCGGTGGCTTGTGAAGTAGTCCGCATCTCGACCTCTAGTGGATGTGTTGTAAGAAAACAATCATGAGTGTTGCGCTAAGTTAAAATCAGAAATTGATTCTCGACATGTCAGAATACTCACTTGCCCTTGCGATCTCTGAAAGCCAGCTCGATCGTTTCGTCTTGGTGAAGAAGATGCGGAAGCTCACGACGGATTCGAGCTTCTTCCTCGGTATTGCTCACCGAGGAGGATATAGAGAATAAAAGTTTCCCACGAAACATGACAGGAAGTCGACATCAAAAATTGATTTTTGTGTTTCTTTCGATTATTCCAATTTCGTGACTTTTGGAGACTATGGTACATGCAAATCAAAATGTCATCTTCAGCTTCGTTCAACACCCCGATGCCGTGGTGACGTACCGGTAGGGGGGGGGGGCAAATTCCTTACGGTACATTCTATCTGAATTCCAGTAAAAGTAAAATACAGTACGGAACGTACGTACGTCATAATATTTCTGATTCTGATTGTTGCATCTCCTCTTCGTCCGTCTTTACATTGTCACGGCACATTTAAGTACAAAATTACCAAATCTTTTTACTTGAGAATCCTATGATTAATAAATTGTAACCATACATTACGTACATATTCGGCTACCGTAAGTCGTAAGCCTTTTCCCATTTTCCACGCAATTTTTCAAATAGGCAGTAATTTAACCTAAAGTAAGGTTGTCCTCAATACGAAAGGTTTTACTAGTAATTTTTTCATACTCCTCTACTTCAGGGTACTGTACGTACCGGTCGTGCATGCATGCAGGTGCTTTCGAATAATCTACGACACTTTGGTACCGTAGGTTTGCACATTTTTCACTTTGATTTTGATCCTGATGCTGATGAGTCTGCGAAAATCGCAAACAAAAAACCCTTAGCCGCGACGATACCTGATAGTACCGGACAAGCTTCGATTGGGACGCCCTTCATTTCGACTCGTACCCATATGATCTTGATGTTCCGTACTGGTAACGTGAGAAGAATATTTACTGTAACAAAACATCAAAGATGGTGCTGTACATGCTTTTCATGAAGGCCGAGACGGAAAACATCGGTGAAATCCAGCTCCGAACCGAAGACGTCAGTCTTCGGATCGACGTCCGAAATTCTCTCTCTGACTGGGAGAAGAGGGAAAAGGTGGTGTTCAACCCTAGCGAGACCGAGGAACCGGATGATGAATCTTCGAGAGAACCACCTCGCCATCTCTCGATCCGGTGGGAGGGGTCGAAAAAGGCCTCCGTTCTCCGGTGCCTCGAGGCCAAGGAAACAGCTACCGCGCTGAAAAAGAAGAAATACAAGGACGGGGGACCGAGGGCATTTACGGGAGAGGACGACACCGACAACTGGGTGCCACTCCTGGCGCTGGAATGCAGGGGATTGGAGCCCTATGCCTTTCACCCGATGAAGGACGAATTTATCATCACCAGCGAGCAAGGATACGTCTTTGATGAAGAAATTGAATTCGAAGACGGGGAATGGGCCGATTACGATGCGGAAAATGACTGTCCCGTATCCATATCCTCGCTTGAGTTCAAATTCGAAGCGGTGTGACGTAACAAGAGAATGCTTGGTGGTGGAGTTTCTTCCAGTTCTTTTAATTCTGAGGGAAAAGTMCATCCAAAACTGGAGCACAAGTACTTCTACTTGTTTTCTGTTCAACGATCATTCTTGTTCGTGTGGTCAGTTTACACAGGGGATAAATTTCCCGTGCTCTATCAACCTAGCGGTCACCATTCATTTTTCGAACACTACATAGCACAGGCCAACTTGAATGTAATTAATCGCTCATTTGATAACCTTCAAGTCCCATCAATTTTTCTCATTCTTTGTAACTGTTGTGGGAGATGTAGTTGTTCTCTATGGTACAAAATAGCATGGGACAAAAAATACTCTGACCAGAATGACAACAGCAAGCACATGAGGATGGATGGATAGTATCCTGCCCAAGCAGAGACATGGAATTCTCTGAAACTGATAATTTTGTTTTCATTTTAGGCTATACAGCTTTTGCTATGTGCTCTGTTGGTTGTATTGTTCTGTACTTCTTTGGATATGGATTAAGTGCTTGGACTTGAAACTTGCAAATT